AGCTTAAAACACATCGAAGGAGTCATTTCCGACCCTATAAACCATATATATTCTTGATCAGCACAAAAAACTGCGTCGATCTAGATTACTCCGGGCGAATACAAAATTTCACAAATTTTCAACATTTTTTAAGTGTTATATCCTTAAAACTATCAAAAATTTAACGAAAAATTTTAATTTTCTTAAACCAAAAATTCAGTATGCAAATGTTTTAAGCTAACAAAAACTAGCTTAAAACTTCTCTCCGATTTGAAATTAATACATTTTTGGCTTAGTTATGATACATCCAATTTAGACTTTCGAAGCCAATAGGAAGGGTATACAAACTTCAGCTACTAATAAGATAGTAAGCTACTTTTCTTGTTTTAACTGAAAATGTATTAATTGAAGTCTCAAAAATATGTGCTTTTCCTTTTAAAATACTCTTGGATTTATGTTTTTATTTACGTTAAAAGTTATTTCTTTTAATCTGTGTAGAATAGGAATAAATCCCTTAACGTATTCGCTCTAAAAATTCCCCCAGTATTTTGTCAAATATTTTCAATAGATTCATCCAGCTCAACACTTTTGGTGTAAATTGTACAGCTACATATATATTTTAATATATATATTTTTCAATACCCAACCAAACAGAAGTCAGTTCTACAAGAAATACAAAATAAATTCATAAAACCCGGCATTTGGAGGGGTGAAGCCCCGTAAAAGGTGTCAACCGAATTGTGAATTGCATTTTTGGGGTGCGGTTAGCCGGAGTTATTAAAGCCAAATGGTAAATGTTCAAGTGGTAAAATTGTAAATGGTTAAATGGTAAATGGCTTGTGCCGGCCGCCAACTGGACTGTCATTTAATGTCGACTGGCAGTAATTAAATATTTAAACCTATTTAACTGGACCGAAGGCTGTCAGGCAAAAGTCAGAGCCAAGCAGCGCATTAGCATTTCGTTAACAATTCCAAAGCATGAAAATATATTTCTTTCGGAAAAACAAAATAAACCTGTGTGGGCGTAACTTGATTTGTGACATTAAAATCGGTAGAGGGAGTGACTTTGTAATAGAGTATTTTCTGGCCTCAAATCTCCCAATTGGTTAAATGAAAACATTTTCTATGTCTTGGTAAATATTTCTTTTTAAAGCTTCAACTTTTATTCTTGGTTGTCACTTGGATTTTTCCTTGTCATTGGCTACATTTACAGGACATTGTCTTGTTTTGAACAAAACACTTGCCTTGTCCTTATCGCCCTTGGTCCAGAAAAGCTGATGAGAGGGGGAGGAAAAGGAAGGATAAATTGTTTTCCCATTCTCTGGTAATTTTTATGGATTTACACGGACACGCTAGCTTTTCCTCAACCCTCCCACATTACTTTCCTGTATCATGTATTGTTTGTCTGTGCTTAAGTAACCGGAAGTAGATTTTCCCTGTGGCCCCGACGGCAAATTAATTGAGTTGAAAACGATGCTGCTTTTGTTGCTATTCCTTCACTCAGATCCGTGTAAAAATAAATAAATAATCGTCATCAGCTTAACATATATTGGTTATAAATTGAACAGATCGAGCGTGAAATATATAAAGTGGATTATTGTTTTAATGGGAGAGAGTGAGGGGAAAAAAAGTGGCAGAAATGGCAAAATCAACAAAAGAGCTTGCTTTATTTATATATATATAAATATACTATATATATTAAGGCAGAATTTAAGGGATTCTGGGTGGTTGGTTGGAAAATCCAATGAGAGATTATCTTCAGAGCTTAACCATGAATTGTTGTTTCTGATGATGATGATGTTGATAACTGACTGAGTAGGCCCACATAATAACTTAAAGTAGAGTAGTTTAGGGATTAGTTTTGTAAGGGCTTTTGAGTGATAAATGTTCTTGCAAGTTCACACAAAATAAGGGAGAAAATAAGAATTAATACGGGTAAGAAAAACATACTTTAAGAAACTAGGAACAACATTATCCCAACACAGCTTCCTTGGCATCCACATATGTATATTCCCAATATCCTACACAGTTTTCCCCATTTCCTTCCGGCAATCACTATCCCTTTTGCCAAAGCGTATCTTCCTCAAATTTTCGTCCCATTTCAATGACGTCAAAACCTTTTTGGTAGCAAACAGATTACCGACAGGGCCAATGCCCGATTGATAGCTACATGTGTAGACAAGTGGGGAGGGGAAAACCCATTGGACAGACTTTCCACCCACTGCCTACCCTTTTTACCCACACAATCCAGCAGCCCAACCGAAAATAAATTAATCAAAGAGCGCGAAAGGACAACAGTTTAGTTCGTGACAGGAAAGAGGCGGAAGGATTTCAGTTTTGCCTGTTTAGGAAATCGTAAATCCATTAAAAGCCTCATTTAGAACGCTTTTGACGCATTTAGGGGGCGGGATTTAGGATTATTTGTAGGCCCCCAAATTGATTCGTTCCCAGGACTTTTAATTGTGAACGAATTCCGTAATTGATTGTGCCCTCTTATGACTGCTGGCTGTTGGGCTTTCCACTCAGTTTCATTTCAAATGGAAAACAGATTTTCCTGCCACCCCTTCGCATAATGGGAAAGGCAAGAAAAGGCCAAGAAAAAGGACTGACAGAGGCTGGAAAAGGATTGAGGCTTGTGTTTTGTGTTTTTCATGCCTTTTGGGGGCTTTTTGGTCTAAACGATTATTTCAGCAAAGAACGTTACGAATTTCCAAGTTAACTCCTTTCGGCATTTATTCTCTGTCTCTAATTCGTCCTTTCTGTTTTTGGTTTGGGTAATTGATTTCCAAAATTACAAATTTTGTATGCCAGATTTTTGTTTGCACACAATTTCAACGTGATTAATTTTGAGAAAAAGATTTGCTTGATGATTGACAAGCCAATGTGAGATGTGAAAATTTATAGATTAAGGTCGAAATGAATGGAATCAATGTTTAATACATTTTAGTGGCTTAAAGGAAAATATTAAGAGTTGCCTTTGGCTTTATGCAAATCGTTTTGCAGGTGTCAAACTATTGTTATTATTTTATTTTGGGGATTAGGTATTTGCAAAAGGATTTAAATCATTATTAAATACATTTAAGCTTTAAATAAATGCATTTTTTTTAACAACAAAGAAGTTTTTATTGTTTCTCTTGTCTGATAATAAATTCCCATTGGAAATATATTTTAAATGAACTCCAACTACAAATATAATTAAGATTCATTGCTTATATCTACAACCCTATGTGCTAAACCCCGTTGTAGCTGTAAATAGCCTTCCATTTTCTATATTTTTCTTATGATCCGATCATAATCTATCCAATAATCATTAATTCACGCTCTCACACGGCGCCATTATCATTAGCAAAGCGACCTATGAATGTATCTGGCTCATCACTCGGGGATACAGATACATTTAGCTACAAATGCTTTTACAGATACATCTCACAGACAATCGTCGTGATGTGAGCTAAATGCAATCCAGGCAAACAAGCTGCTAAATTTCGCACGCAGCTCTCAAAAGGCATTTAAGCACGGATGTCTTTTACGTCTACGTCTCCGTCTCTTGGCTAAAACCAAAAAGATGCTGACAACGATGATGATGGCGAATGGCAAAGGCGGCTGGAGAGGATTGGTGGAACAAAGGCGAATGATGGCATCACACAGCCAAAGAAAAACGAGAGCAATCAAGGACATTTAGTACAAGTTACAACCTTGAAATACCCTTAAAAATATAAGAGAGTATTATACTTTTTTTTAATGGTTTGAAAGCTTCAAAAATGGTTTTTTGAATGCTAAATATGTCCCAACAATTTATAGATTTTTAAGATGGCAAAATACATTGATATATTTTTCTAATCTAATCAAGAAGAAACATTTTCCGTCTCCACAATTTCAGGAAACCCCTCATACCCCACAAGTACTCAGTATATTAAGCAAAGAAAATCGGCGAGTCAAAGAAAAACTGTAGCAAAAGTAGCTACAAGATACACATGTATCTGCCAGATACCACCAGACAGTGTAAGGGAAGTGTGAATTATCCTGCCTCAAAAGTATTTAATGCGCTTTACACATGGGGCAAGCAGGCAAAGAAAACGAGAGAGAATTTTGCTAAAATAGCAGAGGTTAAAAATCATCATCAAGAACAAACATTGGAAACACATAGATAAATGATCATTACTCATCCAAAGTAAACACACAGAAGTATATATTGTGGAAAATCACTCAAGAAAAGCAGTTGGAAAATTAATTAAAGAACGTGAAAATGCAACAGGCTGACCCTCTTCCCGTTTGCAGTTCAAGTTATTAAACATTCTTTTTCGGTTCTTAACTTTATTTGTATATTTTTTTAAGCAGGCATTACAAATTACACAACTCGAATAAGAACTGGTTTACCTTTTCGCCTCAAAACGAAGCCAAAGAAGCGATCTACCTGACGTTGTTAACCATCTTTTGTGAGTTACGTTGCAGGTAGAATGCGGGTATTCCTCTTTCTCTCTCTCTTGTATTTTCTTCTCTCTTTTTTTTTTGTTGTGCCAAGGACCTCCTGCTGTTTTCCCTGGTGGTTGGAAATTGTTTTCTTGGCGCAACAGGATATGCATTTTTTTCTCCCCTACTCAACTCTGCTCTACAAATTGAGTGTGGAGTTCAAATGAAGACATAAAAAATATTGTTTGACCTACATGAGGCCAGAAAACTAAAAAAAAAATATAAATAAGATAAACTTCCAGGAATATTGGAAGTTTAGCTAAAAAATTGACAGTCATTTTGGTATATTTTAGGGTAAGGAAAGCCTTTTGAGAAATATCTTTTAACTCTTTAATGTTTAGAATATTGTTTTTCATTTCATAAGCCGACGGACATTGATTAACTTCAAAATGATGTAAAAGAATTTAAAGGAATTATATTTTCTTAATATTCGATTAAAAACACTTGTTAATCATGGTTAAAACTCTCCCTATTTTATAATTTCCCCTTTATTCCTATACCTCTTTTTGTTTTTATTATATTTATTTTAAAATTACTATAGAAAACCTTACCTTTCCTCCAACTTTTAGCTCATATCCCATTCCCAATGGTGTTTTAAGCTGTACAGGACACACAAATCCTATATTCCGATGAGGAATCTCCACTCCCGTCTGATGTTTCCTTGTTGTCACCTTCCTGGTGGGCGTTGCGGCCGTGGAAGCCGATGAGGTGGTATTTTCCGCCACACATAAATCCTCGCCACCATGAACTGGGAACTTGGAACACTCCAGGTTTTCCGGCCATTCGAAATTGTAGGTTTTCATTAGTTTCTCACAAACTCGAGCGGATTCGCAAAGTGATCGGCAGGGCGGTATGGGACGTTCCAAAATAGTGCAAACGGGGACATATAGGGAGCACAAAAATAATTGCAAGTCATCGCTGCAACCGATCTTCACGAGAGGCGCAAATTGATGCACCTCCAGGCCGGCTTCCTCCTGCTTTGTATGACCAATTAAATTTGGCATTATGGTCATATTATAGGGTATATTCTTGCATATCGAAATGGTAATCGGTTCACAGCGATTGTGATGGGGTAAACCATCCAATTCGGTTCCAGAACTTGACATTAAGCCGCCGCCACTGCGATAATAAGGACTCGCATCCAGAGGACTCTGATCATAACGCTGAACGCCCTGAATTAGGGCGGGTAAAATGAACAGGATTTGCAGCCACATTTTGGAATCCTTCCAGTAAGACTCTGTCAAGGTTATAATCCTTTAATTTTCCTTTAATATTTAGGAAACTTTGTTTTTTAGAAAACACACATGTTGCTCAACGCGAAACACGCACTTTTATTTCTTTGATTATTATTTATATTTATTTTTTGTATTATTTTTTTATTTATTATTTTGTTAGATATCTTTTGTTTAATCAACTTCACTCCCACAAAACACTTAATACCGGTTAAACATTTGCCGCCGGCAAATATTTGTGTTTGGCCTTAATTAGCAAATAATAAATATATATATGTATATTTCGCCTTAGCTTATTCTCGTTTGCTTTAGCTCTTTATTTATATTCTTTTTTACTTATTTTTCTTATTGACCAACGGTTAATATTTATTTCTTATCTTTATCTTTATACTCTTATTTTCTTATTACTTTTCAAAACTTGAGAGCTCAATTTTATATTATTTCATCAACTTTTTTGTATAACCTTTGTTTTGTTTACAATTTATGTATGTTTTTTTCCTTGCTTTTGTTGATATTTTAATCAAATTTCATTTCACTTATTCCAATTTTTCTTATTTTCTTTCAACAAATGTTGACATAGATCTCAAGTACCGTTTATGGCCAATTATTTATCTCATTTTTATCCACACTTCTTCGAATAACACGCGAAAATAACCGTAAACACGACCGAGAATTGTAACCGTAATCGAAGTCCCACACCTTTTGCACGGTGACTTTACGCCAAAAGTCGCGAAATAACGGAGCCGGAGTTCGAATTAAAAACAATCCGCGAGCACAACCGCACGGCAGGGCAAACGCTGACAAACTGAGGAACTGAACAACTGAGCCCGCCATGCGCTGACAAAACTGAGAGACTGAGGAATTGAGCCCGCCATACGCTCACGCACACTGAGAGACTGAGGAAGCTGAACCCGCCATTCGCTGAGCAACTGAGAGAATGAGAGTAAGAGAGACCAAAACACACAACAAGTGCACTGCAAACAAAAACTAAGGTATCTTTATGTTGTAAATTTACAATGCTTAGGGTTCCTATTTAAGAAACATTGAGTTTTAAAGAAAGAGGCATAAATTTCTGTAATAAATTTACAACAATTTAGAATTTATCACATTTAAATGTTCTATTAAATATAGGGGTGAGTTTTCTGGTTTCACGTTTTCAGTGTACTCTCTCTCGCTTCCACCATTACTATGGGCTCTTTCACTGTGACTTTCTCTCTTCAGCAATGCCTCTTGCTGTGGCCTCATGGGGGCGACCTTGAATTTGGCGCTTTGTAAAGAGAGAAAGAGAGAGAGAGCTACTAAGAGAATAAGAGTTGTAATTCACAGACAGGGTCGTTATGCCATTTGTTTTGGATGCTGTTTCCTTTACACTGCCTGCTCTTCTTAATAATATTTTGCTCTCCTGTTGATTAGCTTAGAATAAAAGGAAACAAAAAAGCTAGGACAAAAATAACAACAAATGGTAGAATTTTATAGAATTAAATTTATTAAATTAGAATATTATTAGGCTCTAAATAGGGATAATATTTAAGAACCAAATATTAATATAACCAAAGTAAATGTTCTTGCTGTTAAAAGGAATATTTTTAAGAAAAGCCAAAAACAAAACCTTAAGAAAACTGAATTCATTTAAATTTAAATTAATTTTAATAATTATTTTAAAATGATAATATTACCAATGATTTTGAAAAACAAACAATATAATTTAAACATAAATTTTAATATCAAAAACTCCATTTAATTATTTAAATTATTATTATTTAATAATTTATTTTATTATTATTTATTTAAAATGTATGTATTTCGAAAACTCCATTTAATTATTTAAAGACTCGGGCTTAAATTAGAACACCTGGCAAGGTAACTGAATTGACAAATTTATCTAAAATTTCAAAGAATTAAAAACAAAACTTAAGCTGTTTTTTTGTATAGGTTTTTCTGTAGTTCTTTAATTCCCTGGTCTTATCTTTACCATCGCTTCTTATCAGTTCATCGATGACCGTTGCTTTTGTCATTGTTCTCTTGATCTCTTAATGTCTGTTTCCGCTAGTGCCGTTATAGAACATTAGCCCTCTGACAATTACTCTTCTCCCCCCGGTTTTTTTTTGCTCCATTTCTGTGGAGCATATTTGCACGCGTTAATTTCCTTGATTTGCTACGACAATTTTTTTTATCACCATCCATTTCTTTTTGCACTTGCATTTATCATTTATCTTTATCTAATATCTCTATCGTTTTTGTTGTTTGCATGCCTTGGTTGGTGCTTGCCTTTTTGTGCCGGCAGTTAATTAAGTCATTAACTTGCGTTTAATCTGCGCTTTAGCATGAGTTAAGAGAACTTATGCCGGGAATTTCTCTAATGACCCCGAACGGCGGTAGAAGGGAGAGGGAGGGAGGTGTTTTGAGCATCTGCCGCCAGTCAATAAACTTGTTATATTGACAATAATGATGACATTAGAGGAGGCTCCCAAGTCTTTTGTCTTTGTCACCTGTGGAACCCCACCTCCGATCGGGGGACTCGCTCTCTTCGTCTCTTAGCCTAACATGTTTTCCTTCAGCAGCATAAAATTGGCGCTCTGGCTCTCACGATGCTCTCTGGGATAAACAAGTGTTACCGGTTTAGCCGGCAGTGTTCGATTCTATGGCTTTTTCTCCGCTCTCTTTTTATGCTCGCCCCATCTCCACCTCCACTTCCATCGGGTTCTCTCTTATTGCCTATTCTTTGCTTCTACACTTCGTCGGCTTGTTTAATAAAAAGCGCCAAAGTTGGGGACGCATAAAAAGGGTCTTGCATCTCTGTCGCTCTTATGGTTCTTTTACTGACAATGCATACACTTTAAGAAATGGGAACTAATTGTAAATTTAATAAATATATTTATTTATTCTGAATTACGCTTAGGCGCTGTTAAACAGTTTTGTGATTTGTTTAAAAAATATGGAAAATGCCTAAAGAATTCCTGCAGACTCAAAATGTGGTCAAAAAGTATGCTACAAAATCGTGTAGTAAAATTGCATATATAATACAAGCAAAGTTGGCCAATAAATTGCTATTATTTAGGTGCATTTTAAATTAATTTTAAGTGTAATGTAACATTTTAAATTATATATAAATTTTAATTTAGTTTAAAATCAGGAAAAAATATTCAAATTCATGAAAATTATGTGAATTATTATCACACTTCAAAAAGCTTCGTTTTAAGTTAGCTAATACATTTTTTGTCTATTTAATTTTTGTTTAATCTATTTATGGAAAGCTCTATATAAAGCCTAAAGAGTTTTTAAAATATATAACTTTTTTATAACTAAAAGGTTATTCTACTGTCAAATAAAATATATATATTTTTTAAGAATTTAAAAAGTGTGTAAATGCTTTTCATTATCCCTATTTTCTTGCACTGTACGCTTGTCTTGGCTTCTTGCTCCATTGTTGTTGTGTCGGTCGGTTTCCGTTTTGGCTCTTATGGTTGTTGTTTCTACAGTTGCCGCTCATTTTATGTTTACAAGTGAACGAACTTTGACGTTATTCCGTCTCTCTTTCACTCGCATTACCCCTCCATGCTGATACCTCTCTTACTCTGTCACTCTCCCACTCGCTTGTTAGAAAGTGTTTTTGCTGTTTTTGTTGCTCCTCTCTCGTGTCTCTTTTTGGAATATGTAATTTAATGTAATTAAAATGGAATAAAGGCGAGGAATAATATCCGAATGCAGATGAACTTCGGTATGATAAGCGAAAGTAAAATTGAATTTGCTGCCTGTCTACTTCCTCTTTCTCTTTCTCACCTATGTTTTCTTATTTTTTTTTTAGAGTAATTGTTTTTAATGCAAGTGAATAAGGTGTTTAGAGATATATGCTCTAAACAGAGTTAATTATGATAATTATCAAATAATAAGTATAATTTGGTTGAGTTTAATTACAGGTAACAAATATAAATTGAATTATTATCAAGATTAAGTTTTTTTATATAATTTTCAGCTTAATAAAACAATAACAATTAAACAATAATATTAGAATTATACACTTTAATTCCTGCTTAAAATAACCAATAAAATTCACTGAAATTGTGTTGGATTTGCAAACACTTTAAATGTACCCAAAAAGTATGCTATTAAAAATTACACCATACAATAGAAAGTCTATATGGTATATTTATTTTACTGAATAATTCACTTTATAATTAGTATTATTAACCAATTAAAACCATAAAAGATTATGAATTTATTTTTATTATAATTAATTAGTATTTATTGTTTTAAAAGCTATATAACTCTTCTAGAAAGTTATGTTCTATATATATAATATTTTCCCAATTCCACTTAATAATATTTTAATGCATTTTTTCTAAGTGAATTATTATTTGTTGTAATATTTCATTGTGGTTAATTTTGGGGTTTGCCTAGGGTTTTCCCTCCTGATTTCTTTCCCCAATTAGACTGATTAGAGTGGTCCTTGTTTTCCCCTTCCTTGCGTAACTGCTCAAGCCTGCCCATCCTAGGAAAAAAATAAATAAAGGCTGCCCAACTCATTTGTAGCCAAACAAAATGCGAGGGATAAACAAATCAATCCGTAAAGTTCAGTCATGTCTCGAATGGCAAGCCAAAAAGTAAACAACCCCCCTCTGGACCCACATATGTGCGGGCTAATGCAAAAGGGACTTTGGCCCTAAGCCATAAAAAGGGTTTTCAGTTACTTACATAGAAAAAATACAAGTATTTACTTTTTGTCTGACCTAAGACCCAAAACCCCACCGACTTGAGTGGGCGTCTCAAGTCACATTAGTGGAAAAAAGCCCCACTTTTAACCCCAGAAAGGTCACGTGGCAGGCGAAAACTTACGCCACACACAGAAACCAAAGTGAAATGTCAACTTTTAACAGTATTCTTACCAAAATTCAGAGATGCCAAATGTTTGGGTACATAAATATTTAGGGAAGGTACTTAGGTTCTTGGTAAAGAGTACCTAAAATAGTGTACAATTAATTCTTTGATATAGAGTGTGAGAGAATCAAACGACTGTGAAGATATTAAACTTTTTTTTTAAGGTAAATCTTTAACTAGTTAGAAGATCTTATAATAATAAACATAGAAAACATAGGAACAAATGTTGGGTTTATATGAATGTGCTACACAAATACTTCAGATTTTGAAAAGCCTTAAAAAAGCTGTCCAAAATAAATCTTGCTGAAATTTAGTACCTTCAAAATGTAAGCACTTTTAGATACATTTTTTAATTCTAGTATTCCCATTTTTTCTATTTCTTATACCTTTTATCGACACTTGCTTCTAATTTGGGTACAAAAGCTTACTTTGTACCTAATCTAGAAGAAAGTGTACCTACCCTTCACATCACTGACACTCCAGCTCCTTTTTCGGAGTTTTCACTTCCCTCTAATTAGATGTAAAAGCCCTTGTCCAGAAAGCCCCTCAAGTGTATCTTCTCTTGATTAAAAGTTTACAGTATTTTCGTTTGGTTTT